AATCAATAGAAAGAGATCGTCTTGCTCTTCAGCAGTTCCTTACAACTTATAATCCTGAAGACATTTGGAATGGCGATGAAACTGGCCTATTCTGGAAGATTGAACCTTCTAGAGTTTTGGCACGCAATTCTTTATCAGGCCATAAAAAAGAAAAATCCCGAGTTACAATATTTTGTGCAACAAATGCAACTGGTAGTGAAAAAATGACATTAACCTTTATTCATAAATACAAAACACCTCGTGTCATGAAAAATATTAATCATAAAAATCTTCCAGTTCATTATTTTTGGAATAAAAAAGCATGGATGCAAGTTAGCATTTTCAATGATATTCTCTTTAAACTCAATGAAATAATGAGAAGAAAAAATTGAAAAATTGTTTTTTTAGTTGATAACGCTCCAGTACATATTATTTTAGATGAAACTCAAGAAAAGTTGGATAGTATAGATGTAAAATTCCTTCCATCAAACATTACTACTAAACTTCAACCTTGTGATGCAGGAATAATTCATTCATTCAAGTGCTATTACAAACGTCTCTTTCTTCAAAATCGGATTAATGCATATGATGATGTGCAGGATGGTATTGTGGAAGAACTTGCAGATTATACTATTTATGATGCTCTCCAGAATGCGGCTGAAGCATGGTCAATGGTAACTTCTCAAACTATCTCAAACTGTTGGAATAAAACAGGTATCCTCCCACAAAGTGATGAATTTGAAGAATTTTCTGATGATAATGATTCGGTACTTTCTGATAGGTATAAATTTTTTTAATATATTTGAATTTTAAATATTTTTAATTAACTCTTAAAATCAATTCTTTTTTTAGTTTTGATATAGAAATCAATGAACTTGAGGTGTTGATTTCTCAGTTTTCAAAAAGTGATCTTAATGCATATGAATATCTTCATATTGAGGACGAGATACCAGAGGGTGGGCTTACTGATCATGAAATAGTTGATACTATTCGAAATGCAAATAGGGAAGAGGAAAATGTGGTGGATGAGATTGAATTAACGCATATAATGGAGAAAATAAATCTGACAGAGGTAGAAAAGGCTATAGATAAAACCATAAGATTTTTATATAAACAAGGACCAGAATTCGAGGAAGTAAATGAAGAGTTGAAAATTTTAAGGAGATTGCATAAAAAAGTGAAGGTATTGATTGTAAAAAATTTAAAACAGGTTGATCTTCATTACTTTCGATACGATAATGTTATTTGAATAAACGTTAAAGTTAATATTGTCGCACAAAATTAAATAAAATTGTATTACTGTAGTACATTATAAAATTAAAATAATTATAAAATATCATGATCTATAATTTTATTGGATAAAATTTATATACCGAACAGTTCGGTATATAACATAAATATTACATATCAAATTCATTATATACTGAACCAAATCTCTTGGAACGGAAGGTTCGTTATAGCCAGTGGCGACTGTAGTTGTTAATGAAGTCTATTAGTGCTTCGATCCGGATGAAAACTTGAATATTTTCATGTGACGATTATGGCTGAGAAAGATTATGAATTTCAGATTTAAACAGACTATAATTTAAACCAACATTAAAGTATTATTATCCCAAAAATTTATACTAATTCTGGCCAAACTCATAGTGCCAGCGAAATTTAATGAAATTCAATCTGGATGAAAATCCGGATAAAACCGCTACGGATCGAAGCACTAAAGTCTATTATCCAAATATTTGGTATATAAATAAAAAATAACATTAAAACGGTGCTTAAAGTAAATTGCTACAATAAATTAGCTTATTCCAAGGAAAAAAATAACAATTTACAAAAGCTATAGTGACTCAATTGAAATAAAACAACTTTTCCTATATAGACCTAACTTGAGTAATCTTAGTTTTTAAGATCGGCTGCTTTTCTATGAATGCGCGTCGAAAAAAAATTAAAAAAAAGTAAAAATTTGCGCAATTTTATAGTAGATTTCGATTGTGTAACCAATTTATGGTGGCGACAGTTCTGGTTATTATTGATCAGTCTGTGTAACCTATGAGTTGGCCTCCCCGTTTATTTATCTAACCCCTAGGTTATGCAATATAAATTTATTTATACAGGGTAGTCTAAACATTACAGTTATACATAAAAACAATTATTATATAATATAGAGCATAGCGGACATCTTTACTTTATCACAATTTTATCAATCATTTGTCAATTATTTATTCAATTTTATCACTTCGTTATAATTACTTTGGTTGAAAATCCTACATAATAATAATTTTACAGACAATTTAACATTCATTTAAATTTACTGCATATTAAATTTATCAAAAAAAATTCTTTAAACAGTTAATAAAGTTTTACAAATTTTGTCTATATATGTATTTTAATAATATTCATAAACATTTGCTCAATGATAACTTTTTGATTACCTAAAATTCTACATGATTATTTTGGCTATTGATTCTTGAATACCTAAATAATATATTTTAAAAATTTCAAGTTTCGCTCATAAATCTGTGGCTTCGCCCGAAGCTCTAAAGTCAAATTAGCAGATAATCAGCAAATATAGGCAAACATCAAATTATTGAAAATTTCAGTTTAAGGTTAATTTTAACAATATAATTTTTTTTATTTTTCATAAATTATACTACTAAAAAGACATTAGATGACACAAAGTGGTAAAAATGGTTTTCATGGTCTGGCCGGGTCAGTTTTGTTAAGTCTTAAAAAAAAATTTTTTATATTATTACTATGCCGGGTAAGAATTTTTTAAAAATTGAAAAAAAATTTCGCATATAAAATTTTTGAAAAAAAAATTAAAAGCCAGGTTGCCAGATTATTGATGAAATTTTTATATTATGAAAACCATAAAATCAAGTTTGTATGGCCTTAGTATAGTTTGGCTAAGAATTTTATGGCTTTAACCATAGCTTCAAAATTAATGTGACATGATATCGATGAATGATCGGCAAAGTGATAAAAGCATGTTCGCTATGTTATAGTATAGATGATATATATATATAAATAATAAATAATCAAGTTTCTTTTATAATTAATTTAAAATTAATCTGGTTATTATGGTAACTATGGTGCTATTGTAATTGCAAAAACTTTAAGAAAGCTATTTATTGATACTAAAATTTTAATAAAATCTCTAACAATACCACAAATACCAATGAAATTATATCTGCCGATTTGTGAAATTTGCTGATCATTAGTTATATGGCGCAGTACCAATTAAAATCAATCAAAACCCATTTTTATGTAAGAAAAAATGTCAAAAATATATAAAAAAACTTTTAAAACTCTTCCAAAATATTTATCTCTTTAACTCGAAACTAGTAGAAGGAGTTTCTAGAAAAAAAAGGAAAAAAATATTATAAAGTTAGTTTATTAAAAAAAAACAAAAGAAAAACTTTACAAAATTCAGAATATTTAATATGTAAAGTCAAAAACAATATTCAAAATCCACTTTTTTTCCTTAAGTAAACTTGCAAAGCAAATAAAAATACACTTATATTATGATTTTAAAGTTTCTATTAATCTTCTTTATAAAAAATTATTCTAATTAAAATTACACCGAATCACGTGATTTATATAGTTGTTTCTAAAATTCAATTGGCAAATCCAAAATCCGAAATTACGAAATCATAATTAATTACATAATTACGAAATTAATTACGTATTCCAAAATTCCAAAATTTGCATAATAGTGCGAAATTGCAAATATCTCGGGATCTAGTTATCAGATTTCAATGATCTTACTACCATTCGATTCGTCTCATCAAGACGAATCTAATAATATGTGTTTTATTTCTATAGCACTGATATTGATGGAGTAAAATTACTATAAACATTTAATGAATTTTGGTGTCAGAGCATGATCTAGTGATTAGGTTTGAATGAATTTACTACCATTCGATTCGTCATGATGAGACGATTCTAATGGCGGTAAGATCATCTTTCTAGCATTGAAATTGACAGAGCTATTATGCTATAAATATTTAAAAGTTATTGGTATTGAAGCGCGATTTAGTGATTGGATTTATATGATCTTACTACTGTTAGAATCGCCTTATCGAGACGAATCAAATGGTAGTAAGATCATCCAAAACGGATTACTGGGTGCCAAGTTATTATTTATTAAAGTTTATATATATAAATCGGCCAAAATTAAGGCTAATTCTGGCCAAATATTTTCGTAATACAAAATTAATTATGGAATTACGGAATATGGAGTTTTTCTAATGAATTACTTAATAATTACAGAATTACGTAATTACGTATTTCAGGACCCCGGAAAATACTTATCAGTTAGGGGAAATCCGACACGCAAATCAATTTTATAATTGATTAAATTTTGTGTAACCATAATCAAAAATTCACTCCTAAGCCAATCATCAAAAATTTCAACACATCGTACTATATAAATATATAAACCTTGATAGACCATCATGTGTTCTATCGATTTTTATCGTCATTTTCTTATTTCAACAACATACTTCTCTTTTTATATTTTACAGAACTTTTGTTTTAAAAACAAGCTTTTTCAAGATCCAAGTTGAAATAACAAGAAGTAAGTGATTTTGACGGTAGAGTTATATGTAATTTTATGAGAAGAAAAGGTTTTTCTAAGCTTGTTATGGTGGTTGTCCAGGCAGTTATTGAGTAAAAAGCAAATAATAAAAAAAAAATAGTAATTTTCGTTATAAAAAAGACTATTTAGCAACTTATTTCGGTTCTTTTTCAAGTGCAACAAGTTCTATATTCTAATATCGTTCCTTTTCATACATATTTTATGTTTTGATGTCTTCTTTCCAGACGGGATAATAAGGATAGTAAGTTCTTTTTTTACACTTTTCTTTCTTTTTTTGCTTTATTTTTTAAAAAATTTCTCACTATTTTTTTTTACCTTTTTTTTTATTTTTATTTTATTTTTTTTCTAAAAAAACTTTCTAATTCTTTTTNTGACGCATTATAGACAAGATAGATCCCTTTTTTTGCTTTTTTATTTAACTTTCATTCTTTAAAAATTTTCTTTCTTTTTTTTCTTTTTAGTTTTTTTTATTTTGATGACTTTAATCAAGAAAATTGTCTTGTAGTGCTTGGCTTTTTATAGGCAGGTATGTCTTTTTTTTTTAATTACTTTTTCTCCAATTTTTTTTCGTTAGCATTGATTTTTTATTTTAATTTTTTTTTCCATTAACATTAATTTTTTTTGATTTTTTATTTTAATTTTTTTTTCCATTAACATTAATTTTTTTTTGTTTTTATCTTCTTAGATGTCTTATAATTTTAAGTTTCTTTAAGTATGGTTAGGAGTTATTTTCAGACGAGCAGTAATCTTTAACTCTTTCTTTTGTGATTGTGGCGAATTTTACTTAATTATATTTTTATGGTTTAGTAGTAGCAAGGTGTTCTTACTAGCCGTTAGTTTTTTCATTTAAGATATGTATATTTTAAAAAAATTAATAAATAATATAAATAATTTTTTAATATTACGTTCAAGTTTTTTTTTTGTGCAAATGAAAAAATAATTTTATTAAATATTAAGCATACATAATACTCAGCATGATGCTGAATCAGATGTAATCTATGTACCTATATTCAAGTATTATTATTTTATATTTTCGCTTTTATTAATTATCCTATTCCTTTTCACTTCCACTTCCTCTATCTTTACCTCTTCCTCTTCTTTTGCCTCTACCTCTTCCTCTATCTCTTCCTCGTCCTCTTCCTCTACCTTTACCTCTTTTATTTTCTTTTTCTTTTCTTTTTTCTTCTCTTTCTTCTTCCTTTTTTTCCTTTTTCATTCTAGCAATTTCAGCAACTGTAATTCGGTAGAGCTCCGAACGAGTCAAGTCGAGTCGAGTTATATGTAAACTCGATTCGACTTGAGTTAAATCGAGTCAAGTCGAGTCGAGTTAAAATTATAAAAATATAAACTAGACTCAATTCGAGTCGAGTTGGCCCGTCAAACCGAATCGAGTCAAGTCGAATTAAATCACGTGATTTTATTCGGCTATGCCGATCATTTTTTTTTGGCGATAGCCGTTCCACAAATTTCCATTTTTGTGATTTTCAAAAAAATTTCGTCTCAGATTTTGTGTAACATAATTTTCAAAAAAGGAAATTCCATAAATTTGGCCAGAATTATGTTTAATTCGGCTTAACTCGACTCGACTCGATTTTATTAAATTATTAACTCTATTCAAATCGATTCGATTTGATTATAATTTTCAACTCGACTCGACTCGACTCGACTAACTCGCGAGTCAACTCGACTCATTTCGGAGCACTATAATTCGGTTTATATTTCTTGCTCTTCTTCCAACAGTTGTATAATCTTCTGTTAAAAGAATTTCTTGGTTAATTATTGATTGTAATCTTTTGATACCAATATCATATACAGTAACTAATTGATTGATTTCTTCTTGATTTAAATTTTTACAGAACTCAAATATTGGATGATTAAAAAGATCTAATGATTCAAAAACATCAATTAATAAATGTGCAAGTTCCCAAACTTTATTTTTTCGAGATTGAACATTACGTTGTTGAGAACTTTTAACATTATCACCAATATAATCACAAAGCAGCATGTCAGTTCGATCCTTTTCTAATTGTGTAGCTCTAATTCTTAACTTTAATTCTTCTTTATCTGTTGTAATTCGTGTTATATTTTGTTTTACAAATTTGACACCAAATGTTTCTAAAGCCTCATCATAGGCAAAAAAATGCCCAGGATTTGTTAAATTTACAGTCGGTGCTGTGCGAAGCATTGCACGAAGTTGAGGATTATTTTCTACACAGTAAAGGTGATAGGTTACAGATCTGGCATAATTTGACTTGCCAGCAATAGGAAACAATGGTGAAAAAGCTTTTAAACTTTCATGCTGTAAGTCAAATACACCCTAACGAATTTCAAACCAATGTGCTCGCCAATAACTAGCCCATTGAAAATATAAGTACCAAACTTTAATAATGTTATTTTCTTTTAAAATATTATTTAATGTTTCTTTTTTTCTTTTTACATATAAATTAATTGCAATACCAACTGAAACCCAAATCAGTTCTAATACTCTTGAAGTTGCTCTAAAATCTACACATTTTTCTAATTTATCCAAAAATTGCACACCCAATATTCCTGCCATATTAAATATTTCATACCCCGAAAAAATTGTGATTAATGTAGACATCATATCCTTATTTGTATGCCATTGTCCAAGAATCATTTTTGTTTTTTCATTTTTTTTACAATAACTAATACTTCTTCTAAAAATTGCTTTATCTGCAACAACATTAATATATTCTGAATCAATTTCATTTTGATACATTTTTAAACATTTATGTACAGCAAGATCATTTGATGGTGGATCACCGGCATCAAGAATAATAATATTAGGAGTGGGAAAATCACAACCAATTTTATAATATTTCATAATCTGATTACGTATATCATATCCATCAAAATTTGTCTGATATGTAAAAGTATTTTCATCGAATGCAAGTAATTTTTCAAAAACTGAATTAAAAATATTTAATTTTTGTTCAGAATAAGAATTTTGTCCAAAAAGTAATGGTTGTTGATTTTGTGCTCTTTCTTGTAATTCAAGAGTATTAAGTGATTCAGGCATTTGAAATTGAAATAACATACGCAGATTAGCATGTGAATGTCCTCTAGTTGCATCAAATATATTTTCATAACCAAATGTAGATTTCTTAAAATCCACATTATCTATTATACCAAGATTCCAAATATTTTCATTATAATGAATCCTGTCTGTTGGATTTGCTAATAATGCACGAATTTTCTCCAAATTACGCTCATGTCTTAAAGTATGACTAGTAATATTAACTATATTTAAAATTTCTTGTAAAGATGATAGAAGTTTTGGTTTACGACAAAGACTTGCCATTGTTCTAGGTAACCAGATTTTCCATCCTTTAAATGCAATATTTAAAATTATTGAAACAAAAAAGGTTATCTGTTTAGTAATTTTTTCATAATTTAATGGTTTAGGTTGTTGTTTATAATATTTTTTTTGTCGATCTAATTTTCTTTTTTTTGTCTCATATAAAGTTGTTAAAAGACCATCATAAAATTGCACTAAACATAGAGGAAATGTTGCACTATATTCTTCTAAAGAAGCAGGTGCTTCAAGTGACTTTTTGTGTGCTTTTAATTTATGCTTTGCAAGTATTGTTGAATTTGCCAATACCTTTCCAAATTCAAAGAAATGTTTTGGTGTAAGATTTTTAGGATTAAGTTTTTTATGTGTATTATAATCAAATTTTACTAAAGCAAAAATAACAAGTATTATAAATAAAGAAGGTACTGATATTGATGAAAAAGACTCGGAAGATGATAGTTCATATGTAATGTTAGATTTTTCTTGATTAATAGTACATAAAATAGGAACTAATTGTTCTAAAACTTTTTTTTGCCAAACTAATTTATCTGAATAAGCTACATTAAGAATTCAGTATCCAATTGCTTCTAATGCTTTTTTTGTATCATTATTGTGATGTGACATATTGTCACAATTTGGATCATTCTTTACACCTTTTCCAATATGTTTATAAGTATGCCTGCCCTTATTTTCATAACAATTTATACATACTTAACGTGCATTTTTACTCTGTTGTGTTGAAAATACAAGAGGATGATATACTTGTAAGGCACCACATTTTTTTTGTCCTATACAAGGAACTTGAATATTTCTACCTACAATTGTATATGAATGTTCTTCACAATTAGCACCACGACTAAAAAAAATTTTATTTTTACTACAAAATAAACAACGACGACGATGAATAATACTTTGGGTATACTTTTTAGTTTGCTTCAAATTAGCTGAATGTAGTTTATTTTGATCATACATAAAATGTGTATAACAAACTCCTAATTGTTCAATTGTGAAATTTTTTGCTCTAACTTCTTCTTCATCAATTTGCTACATACCAATCATTTGCCAAAGGCGCCTCAAATTTGTTTTGGAATTACATCTTTGAATTTTACCCTCAAATATATCAATTATAACACATGGACTCAATGTTTCATTGTCCTGTAATTCAGAAATAACTTCATCATGTTCATCATACTCTTCTCCATGCTCTTCACCAGATTCTGTTTCAGAAAATTCATCTTCATCTTCGTTTGAGACATTTTGTTGAGCAAATTTTTTCGCATTTGCAAGTGCATCACGATCTATTTCAAATAAAGGTTCACCATTATTCAATTCACTTTGTATAGATGATTCTTCAATTACACTTTCCTTTATTTAAAAGAATTTTAATAAAATAAAATTTATTAAAATATAAATTAAAATTATTCTTATTTACGTTAAAAAATAAATAAAATGAAGACATTCCCATTAATACTCACCAAATCTTTTTCTAGATTTTTGTATTTACTAAAAATTTTTTCAAAATCCACTAAGTTTTTTTTTAAATCCTCATATTCATCATCATTACTTATTTGGTTTTCCTCTAAATCTTCGTATTCATTATCATCTCCACTGGAAAAGTCTTTTTTAAACTTACATATTTATTACATAAGATTTTCTCCAAATTTCATATTCATTATGAGTTTTATCCCTACCTTTTTCCATTTCCATTATGATAAATAAATCCAAAATCTATAAAAAAAAATGCTTTTTTAAAGATTTATTTAAAAAAAAATTAAAAATATAGTACTTCGTCAGTTTTGTAGGTTTAAATGCTTTAAAAACCCAGTTTTATTATATTTTAATGAAAAAAATATACTAACTTTTGGTAAAGATCCAGGTTAAACGGCAAAAGTTATATTAAAATTTTTTTAACGAGGTCTGAAGAACGGTCAATAAGTTCCTATTTTGCTTTTGGTTTAAAGCGTTTCATTATATAAATGTGGTGTTACCTTTACCCGCATTTTTTCAATTTTTGCTGAAATTTAGCCGGCATTATCAATTTGGCCAGAATTAATGATAATTTCGGCCAAAATCACATTTTGAAGATCGGCTATTTTAATCCAATAAAATTAATTTTGCCGATTTTGAAAACTATACATGCGATATTTACCCAAAGACGATGCTGCACCATAATTTTTATTAGGGCAAGTATATTGAAAAAATTTTGCCCTTAAATTTTATCATATTTCCCCTGACTGTTATATAGGTAAGGTCCCAAAAATTTTTTTTATTAGAAGCTCTAAGCATAGGTTTTTACTATGATCGCATACAGATCTTTTGCACTTTATGCAATCTCCTATCGCCAAGCACTGGTCAAAATCAAAACTTTTGACCGTTAAGAGCTTTCGGCATAATTTTGCCGATTAGTCATATGATTCATCACATTTTTTGACCAATGGCAAAAATTGGTAAAATCAATGAAAAAAAATTGACCAATAACTTTTTGGTCGATATTTTGTAATTATGTATCACGTGCATTACGCAATACTACTATATATTAACTTTATTTAAACTTTTTTTTTCTCACACTTTCGTCTCCCCTTTTCACTCACTTTACTTTTCCACACACTTCTTCGTCACCCTTTCGTCTTTCCTCTTTCTATTCACTCTTTTGTCTCCCTTTCCCTCTCACTTTTTCGTCTTTCCCTTTCCCCTTTCTTTCGTCCATTCTCTCTTCCTTCTTTTTAGGTGACGCCTCGGCTCTTTGGATACGGTATTTCAGTAAGTTTTTAATTTTTTTTATTTCCCTTGTTTTCGCCTTAATAAACTAATTTCAAATTTTTTTTTTTAGTTATTCAGCTTTTAGACGCGTGGGTACTTTGGTAGGAGAGTTAGATTTTTTTAAAAATTTTATTTAACGAAATATTTACTAACATTTTCGTTCTTTTTTTTGTAGGTTCAAGACGCCCTCGAAGTATAATAGATATTAGGGTTTAGGGCATGAATTAGTCGATAGTAAGTTTCGAAGTTGAGTTAATTTCGAAACTTTAAAAGAAATGATTTACTAATCATTTCTTTCTTCTTTTTGTAGGCCTTCACTTTGGGCTGATGGATCGGATAAGTTTTGAAATATTTCGAAACTTTTTGAGATTTTTTTTTATAAAAGAATCGGTTTGCTAACCGTTTCTTTATTTTTTTTGTAGGTTCTTCTTCGTACTATTATTGAGAAATAGACGTGTAAGTTTCGATGTGTATTTCAAAACTTTATTTTTTATTATTATTAAATAAACGGACTAACCGTTTTCTTTATTTTTTTTTTTTTTT